GGTATGTGCCACCACCACCTGCCTGAGAAATAATTTTTAAAATTTTATTTATATGTGTGTGTGCGTCACATGTGTGCGTCACGTGTGTGCAGAACCTACAGAAACCAGAAGAGAGACATTGTTGGGTCCCCTAAAACCAGAGTTACAATGACCATGAGCTGCCATGAGAAAACTGAAAACCAAACCCTGGCCCTCTGCAATTGCAAGAAGTCCTCTAACCCATGAACCATCTCTCCAGCATCCCACAGAAATAAATCATAAGAAAATGCATATTATAGGTTATATACCTAACTAGTAGAATCATAACAGTATACGATAGATAACTCTAGAGTAGAGAGGGTCACTATACTGCTATTTGTGCAAAAATTTTGCAGATTGTTAAATTAGAACTTTTGCTTCTAAGCTATCGGCGATACCACACTCCTCTCATCCGAGCAGAGTTGGTGAGAGGATTCTGAGTTTGAGGCCACCCTACAGAAAACAAAAAGACCCTGTCTCAAAACAAAACAAAACTTTTGCTTACTGTGTCTAATGCTCCCTAGTTCTGAATTATTGCTTAAAATGTTGCCTGAGGCTAGGGATAAAGCCCGATGGCTAAGGTGCTTGCTGCACAAACACGAACCCTTGAGTTCAACTCTCACAACCCTCTTAAAAAGCTGGGCACAAAGGCCTGTGCTTGTAATTCCAGTACTCAGAATGTAGAAAGGGATGGACTCCTAGGGCTCATGGACAAGCCAGTGCAACCTAAGCCAGGAGCTGCAGGCCCCGGTGGGAGACACAGTCTCAAAAATCAAAGTAGGTATTTCCTAACAACGCCAGGGGTTGATCTCTGCCATCTACGCACACACATCACGTGTTAATGAGCCTCACCTTGCCAAGAGAAGCACACAGACCCTGGGGCGTATTGCGAGAGCAGTTATTCTTCACCTGATGCTTTATCAAGGAGACTACAGGTTCGTTTCCCAGCAGGGAAAGACCACGCCAAACAAAAACCAAAGAGACCCCTGCAAAGGGGAGTAGATCTGATACATTCCAGACCTGTGTGTAGCATTTTTAAAGAAAACAATGTCAGGAAACAGGCTACCCAGGATTCCAAGTCGTAATGAAATATGGGCCCAGCCAGAGATGAGACTAAAGGTTTCTCAGCAGATACAGAGGTTGGCATAGAGCCGACAACGAGTCCACATCATATTTCACCTTCCAAAGAGCTCCTGGCTTCTAAACATCATTATTTTGACTTCATTAAAACATTATTAAGTAAAGTCCTCCCATTAAAGGCTAGATATACTAATTGTGATATCCTTATCAGCTTGAGTAGGTGGTAGGCAAAGGGAAATTTTTATATACTCTATTGACAGATCAGTCATTACTGATAAAAAATGGTAGGTATAATTTTATAAGGCTGATGAATACAGATATATAAATTGTACACTACTTCCAGCTCAAACTACCCAAGGAAAGTTCAAAGTGCACGCTTTGTACAGTCCGCAGAGGTGTATCTATCTGGCTGTCCCTGGGAGCTGACACGTCTCAGCAAGTTCTCTGGAAGTTGTAGTGATATTTCATTTGCATTTTAATTAAATAAAGCTTGCCTGAAGGTCAGTGCAAAGTGGCCACACCAGTCAGCCACACAGGTCAGACAGTGCGTGCACACACCTTTAATCCCAGCAGCCACACCAGTTAGCCATAGAGGCAGGGCGATGATGATGCATGCCTTTCATCCCAGCACTAGAGAGGAATATAGGGCGGGATGAGACAGTCTTTCAGTCTGAAGATTTCACAGAGGTAAGTGCTCTCTAGTGGCTTGGCTGCTTTGCTTTTCTGACCTTCAGGTTGAACTCCAATGTCTGCCTCTGGGTTTTTATTATTCGTACTACAGGAATTCTTCCTATAAAATAAGGAAGTGGGCCAGGGGTGGCGCGCACTGCTTTAATCCTAGCATTCGGGAGGCAGAGGCAAGTGAATCTCTTGATCGGAGGTCAGCCTGGTCTACATAGTGAGTTGTAGGACAACCAAGTCTACACAGAGAAACCCTGTCTTGAGTAACCAAAATAAAATTAAAAAGTGAACATTATGGGGTTGAAAAGATGGCCGAGTACAATGTTCGTGGCACAAGCATCATGTCCTGAGTTCAGATTCTCAGCATGAAGAACCAGGCACAGCCAGGCACGGTGGCGCACACCTTTAATGCCAGCAGTGGGCAAAGGTGGGGGATGGCAAGAGGATCTCAGTGAGTTGAAGGCCACCTGATCTTCATAGCAAGTGCAAGAAGAGCAGGGCTCTGTAGAGAGATCCTGTCTCATAAAAACAAAACAAACAAAAATAAAACAACAGCACAAGGCCAGCACTGGAGAGGCAAAGATAGCCTAGCCAAATTGGGGAACTCTAGGTCCATGGACACCTGGTTTCAAAAATAGGGCGGAGAGCAATTACGGAAACACCTGACATCAGCCTTCAGTCTGCACACATAGGCAGTCAGGTGCACACATTCCTGCACACCTGCAATGACCCCCACAGACAAAAGACATTCTAATGACAAATTTTTTTGCAAGTCAGAAGGTGTGGTGTTTTGTCTTGGTTGTCAACTCTCCAAAGCCTAGAATCACATGGGAAGGGAGGTTTTTTACTTTTTAATCATGTTTGCTTTTGAATGTTTGAGATAGGGTCTCACTAGATCAGGTTGGCCTGGAACTCACAGAGATCTGTCTGTCTCAGCCTCCTGAGTGCTGGGATTAAAGGCGTGCGTCACTATGTCTAGTTCTGTGTAATTATTTTTATTTCAATGAATAACATGATGAAGCACTACTTAGTATTATACAGGACACATATGTACATCAGTCCTCTTCAGTCAAACTTAAAATTCTCTAAAGGGAGTTGGAAAGATGACTCAGCAGCACTGGCTGCTCTTCCAAAAGACTTGGGTTCAGTTCCCAAAACCTGCATGGTGGTTCACAATCATTCATCACTCCATTTCCAGGGAATATCATGCCCATTTCTGAACTCTCTGGGTACCAGCGTACACATAGTACACTTACATACATGTAGGCAAAAACACTCATACACAAAAGAACTAAAATAAACTTTTTTAAAAAATCCTCTGCAAGGCATTCATCTTCATGAGATATCCGACACTCAGACTCTGGTATTGTTTGGTAGGTATCCCGGAAGTATTTGGTAAATGACACCCAGAGCTGTACAATAAGGATATCTTCTGGATTTAAACATGCAAGAAACCGTCAATAGTTTTCTCGGGGAATATACTTACTCTTGTATTGAATTTGCTTGTAATCCCAACACTGAGGGCAGGAGAATCTTGAGTTCCAGGTCAGCCTGGAGGACAAACTAAGATCCTGCTTCAAAATTTTTAAACATGTATAGGGTTGGGGAGACGGCTCGGTAGATAAGCCATCTTACCTACTGCAGGCCTGAGTGCCTGAGTTCAAATCCCCAGCACCCACGTAAAGTTAGGCAAGGCTGCAGGCTCCTATCATGCCAACATAGGGCTGGGAAGGCAGGCACATCCCAACAGCTCATTGGCCGGCCAGCCTAGCTCAAACAGCAAGCTTTCAGTTCATTGAGGGACTGTCTCAAGGCGCCAAGGCAGACTATGGTGAAGCAGAAGACGCATACCGTGTTCTGAGTTCTGCATGGGTTCATGTGTGCCCCACATATTCATGGATGTGCACCACACATACACAACCCCCCAGTGTATGTTCATATTTAATTTAGGATAAAATGTTGTTTGAAACTGGTTGAGAAAAAAAGTGACTTTCATATTGTAACAAAACCCAGAATATGAGCCATCAAGATGCCTCAGCCATCAGAGGCCCTTGCCACCATTCCTGACGGCCTGGTAAAGCCCCAGGACTCACAGTGCCGAAGGGGACAACCAACTCACTCAAGCCATTCTCTGACCCCCTCCCCCCACACACTGTGACATGAACACACACTAATATATAAATAACTATAAATGTTTAAAAGTGCCAGAATATGACTGTAGAGTATTAGGAAAAGGTGAATGAAAGTCAGGTGACGAAAACCACCAGGTGGTAGCGGCAGCACGTGCCTTTAATCCCAGCTCTCAGGAGGCAGAGGCAGGTGGATCTCTGTGAGTTCGAGCAGCTTGGTCTACAGAGGGGGTTCCAGGACAACCAGGGCTACACAGAGAAACCCTGTCTAAATAAAAAAAAAAAAAAAAAGAAAGAAAAAAGAAAGAAAGGAAGGAAGAAAAAGTGAACAAGCAAGGTTTTCTTTCTGCATTGATTATAAAACCCTATGTAGCAACCAGTATTTAGCTTTATAAATATTTTTTGACAGCTGCTTACATATACAATTGAAAACCTGTCACTTAAAAGTAAAAGAGAAACTAACGGTTTTTTTCTAAGTAACATTTTCCATAAACAATGAGAGTCTCCAAGAATTTCTGTTAGGAAAACATGATTTGTTTCCATATGAACCACCATCACACAGACATCACACTGCATAACATAAACAAGAATAGATTTAGCTTTTGGCTCCGAATAAATTATCCCATAAACCCTCACAAAACACATCTGAAATTGCCCACAGTGGAGCTAGCACAGTCGTGAGGACAGATTAAATATGGGTAGGAGAGTTTGCTCGGCTCATCCCTCTGCAGCTGTATGTCCTCTCGTCTTAGTAGCTACACGAAGGACCCCTTCTCCCGTGCTCCGGAAGACAGTCTGTCTAGCCAGGGAAGTCACTCTCAACTCCAGACCTACTCACACCATTAACAGAAAATGCTGTACCCATCTAATGGCTCCCTGCAGGTAGCCTTCTGCTCTTAATAGATGTCTCCTGAAACACTGTATGAGATGTTAAAGGGAAATCTCTATCCCTGAGAGATGCTTTCAACAAGGAGATAAAAATTTACATACTGTAAAAATAATGAATACGTGGGTGGAACAGAAATAGTATTGGGAAAAGTACACCAGAGGTATAATTATAACTTGCAATACAAATGGCCTTAAAAGGCATAGTTAGTTTTTTGTTTTTTGTTTTTTTAATGGGTTAAGAGCGCAGACGGGGTGGGGTGGGGGAGCGTGCGTGGCAATTGGAGGTCTCACCGCGGCAGACACGGTCAAGAGGAACTTGCTGAGGGTGCCTTCCTTGAGCCCATCTCCTCTGGTTTCTTGGGTCTGTGATGTCGCTGTAGGGGCTCAGCTGTCACTGTCCTCGCTGTCCCCATATGCACCCAGCTGGCTCAGGGAGGAGGTCACGGGTGTCTGGGGTGCAAGGTTGGCTGTCTTCCTGCTCTCTGGGGCACCCACGGCAGGCATCTGGAGCTGCTCTGCGCCCCTGTTGGCTTCCGCCTTCACCTTCTTTGGCACCACCAATCCGGCCAGCTGTGTCCTGCTGCCCACTGCCTCTGCCTTCCTCTTGGCCTTCGGTGCCTTGTCCAGGATGGCTGTGGGGTTGGGTTTTGCTGCTGAGCATGGTCGGGAAGGCGGAGCTTCATCTTCGGAGTCGGAATCCTCCAGAAGTCTGCGGTGGCGGGCCTTCTCCAGCAAGGCCGCAGTCTCACATTCATCTTCCTCCTGCTGCTGCCGTCGCCACTGTTCCTGCGACAGGCGGTGCTGCAGCAGCATGGCCTCAAAGTCCACGTGTGCCTGCCGCTGGTTCAGGTCCTTCAGCTCCTGCAGGTTTTCCAGCACCTCCATCTCCAGCTTCGAGTCTTTCGTGCGGTTCTCTAGGACCTTCATGGGGTTGTTCAGCTCCTCATCCTCGCGCTCCTTCTGCACACGCTTTTCCTCCTCCTCCAGGAGCTTCTCGGCCTGGAAGTTGCGTGTGGCTCCATGCTCCATGGTGTAGTCCGTGTTCTCAGGGTCTGTCTTGAAGGTGATCTCGGTCAAGCAGCGCGTGCACTTGATATAGAAGCGGAAGATAGGCAGGCCCAGGTAGGCCTCGTTCTGGACAGTTTCCTTGCGTGCATTGAACTTCTTCCCCTTGTAGATGTATTCTCCACATGTCTTACACCTCATGTTGAAGGGGGCCATCAGTCGAACCACGTACTGCCGGTCCTTGGGTAGCTTGAGTTTCGGGATCTTTGACGGGTCGAAGTCAGGTGGGTAGTATTTGTTTAAAACTTTCCGTTCCGACATATTCGCTTCCGGTTCGTCGAGCAAGCGAAGGAGCAGTGTTCTTCGGTTCCCTCGGAATTTATTCCAACAGGCGCCACAGTTCTCTTGACGTCACTTCCTGGGCTGGCTTACTGATGTATTGATAGGCTTTAGCGTTCTCATTGGCTGTGGTATCTGACTGTTCAACTACTAATAGTACTTTCCACGAATAGTAAAACCTAGGCCTTTGGTGGGAGCTCGAATAGTTTTTACAGACGGTTCTCTTAATATTTATTTATTATATATACAGTGTTCTGCCTGCTTATATGCCAGTAGGCCAGAAGGCGCCACATCTCATTACAGATGGTTGTGAGCCATCATGTGGTTGTTGGGAATTGAACTCAGGACCTTAGGAAGAGCAGCCAGTGCTCTTAACCACTGAGCCACCTCTCCAGCTCCCGAAAGCCTTTTATTCTTTTTTTTTTTAATTAATTAATTTATTTATTTAGTATACAATATTCTGTCTATGTGTATGCCTGCAGGCCAGAAGAGGGCGCCAGACCCCATTACAGATGGTTGTGAGCCACCATGTGGTTGCTGGGAATTGAACTCGGGACCTTTGGAAGAGCAGGCAATGCTCTTAACCACTGAGCCATCTCTCCAGCCCCAAAGCCTTTTATTCTTATGTGAATAAAGTATCCAGCTTTTCTTGGCAGGGGTGGGGGATGGAGAGAAAATAAGCTGATATTATTTCTTGCATTTCAAGGACTCTTCAATGGCATCTTTAACACACGGCAACCAGTTTTTGTGGTTCCCTCTCCTGCTTTCAGAGACACCTAAAAATACTCCTAGATTGCCATCAATCTTAATTTGGTTGATCTTCATGCTCAGCACAAAGCTCCTCCACCGACTGGACACACATTGGCTCATCACAACTGGGTTCAAGCATGCACGAGCCTAAGGCCTTGGCAGCTCTGTGTAATTCCCACCTTGGATGAGTGTTACTGGAATGGGGGGTGAGGACGTGAGTCAAAGAATCTCAAGCTAATTCCAAAAGATTTTAATTATATTTTTTATTATAAGGGGCAAACTCACGGAACAGAAAAGTCTAACCTCAGATGTGTAATGCGGGGGTGTGTGTGTGTGTGTGAGCGAGCGAGCACCCTGGGCAGGCGGGGTGGGGGGGGTGTTCTCTGGGTACCTAAAAGGTCACGCCCTTAAAGGTTATTGGCTGAAGGAGGTTCCCCATCAAATGAGACCAGTCCTCTTGCAAGGCAGTGTTAGCACCCCCCACACCTCCAGCACCAATGCCTTCCTCAGCAGTGGGTTATGGATGAAGCTCAACCTTGAATACACACATCTCCATGACTTGCTCAGCAGAGGACGAGTGAATCAGGCTGTGTTCAACATTTCTAACTATTGGGTATATTTTTTAAATAAATGAGCAAAATAAGGCCACCTTTTCCAGGAATAAGTTAAAAAAAAAATACGACTCATTAACCATCCTTAGTATAGACCACGAGTTACATCTACCTCAGTTATGTATTTTTTTTTCCACCTTTTCCTGGGCACACAGCCACCTGGAATGAATGCTGTATTTGGCAGTTAGGGAAGGCACTATCTAGTTTTTGGCTAATGGTATTTAAACAGAACTGTTTGGTATAAATGGAAACTATCCTTAAACAAAAGGTTACAACCCCACTGCCCTGGTTCTCACTGGCCAGAGTGTTTGCTGTGAGGAAATTGACTGGAGTCAAAAGCTGAGGTTGGTTAAGCAACAAAGTGTCCTTAAATATCACCAGAATTCCTTAAAAAGGAAAACCTCTCTCATTTCTACAGGTACTAATATTGGGGGTTTAGTTTTATGTTAGTGAGTCCAATCTTAACTAATACACATTTCAATGGTTGGCACATTACTCTTTTATTAGAAATTGTAAATGAGAAATTATTTCAACACCTGAAGACCAAACAACAACAGAAGATTCTATAGGTTCAAGATTTTGAGACATTCTGGCAAGAGTCTTATGGAGAGTGTACCCTTTCCGTGGCATGGCAACATCATTTTTCCTTAAAAAGGTAACCGGACAGACATCATTTCCACCATCTCCTATATAAACGATCCGTGCATATCTCACTCCCTTCTCTAACTGTTTCTCTATGAATTCTACCAAAACTGCATTTTTGCAAAGGTTCTTCGGACACCTATTGCAAGAATGAGCATGGTAATTTCTCACTGTGAGGCAACCACTGTTATCAAAAGCTGCTGGATTAGTAAACACGTTATCAAAGACATCATGAAAATCAGCAGCTTCTAAAACCCAATCTATGAAGACTGAGTTTGAATCTGAAATAATGATGCAATCAAATTTATCCTTATTCATCCTTAGAAAGCTGAAAAGCTCCACCATCCCCAAAGTGAAAGGCATGGATATCACTGTTCTTCTCATTTCATCTTCTTTCACCCCTTCATCTCCCAAATACTTAAAGACTCTGCCCATAAATTCTGTCCAGAACCCCTTCTGGTAAGAATCTTGCAGTGCCATGGGAAGCTTTTTGTCTGGAGCACATTGTACAATCCGGGTGTCACTATTGTCATCTATGATTGTATTGTCGAAGTCAAACACCAGCAAAACTTTCATGGTTCCAGTAACAGATTTGGGTTACCCTGCAAAAGAAGAAATATTATCCCTAACCATACTGTGTTTACATATCCATTATACTTATTTAGGATCAGAAGTAAACGTTAACCTGCTAAGAGCTAGGTGTGGTAGTACACGCTGTTATCTCAGCACTTAGGAGGCTAGGGAAGAAGGAGAAAGAGGTTGATGGCTGACCTAAAACTTTCTAAAAACATGGAGCTTCCTAAAAAAAAAAAAGAATAAACAAACTAGTTAACATGCTAAAACAAGGAGTATAAATCAGTGAGTAAGGACTTTATTTATTTATATTTTTGAGATGAGGTCTCATTATTGACACCTTTCTGGTTTGGAACTTGTTATGTAGGCAAGGCTGTTCTGGAACTCAGAATAATCCACTTGCTTCTGCCTCCCGAATGCTGGAGTTAAAGAAATGTGCCACCATACTCAACTGTTATACTCAGCAATAAAGAAAAATTTAGAATTTTTCTGCATATGATTATTTTTCTTATGTATTATGTATCACATTATATCTGGTACCCAAGGAGGTCAGGAGAGATCACTGGATCCCCTAGAACTAGGGTTACTGGCAGTGAGCTGCCATGTGGTTCTGGGAATTGAACCTGGGTCCTCTGGAAGACCAGTAAGTACTCTTAAAAAATAAGCATCTCCCCAGGGGATTAAGAATTTTTTTTCAGACTATCATTTATTTTTCCTAAGATAAGTGCCACACTTACTTTATTAGCTTATAATAGTTGTAATAATCTTCATATCAAGTAACAGGCCATAATATGTTATGAATATTCTATATACTAACAAAAATTCTGAACAAGTTTAAGTTCATGTAACTTTATAAAGTAGAAAATAATTTTTAAATGGTTTTCAGATTGAACTCAATGTCAGAGTATGACTAAATGATTGGTTAATGCCACACCTGAAATTCTAAAACAGTTATCTGAGACATGGAAGTCAACTCAATTCTCCAAAATTAGGATGACTTCTGTTAAAGGTTTTGATACACTTATTTGCATTTTCTCTAAATCATTTAGTTTTGAGGTACCAAATGTTAACTTGAGTAAACACACCACATATGACAGGACAGATGTCTTTGTTTTCATTGGAATGGAAATGATTAACTTATAAATCTCCAAAAGAAATGGAAATGCTAAGTTTCATAATAACAGTTATTATGAGTGAAAATTATCACACTAAAAAAATAGCAATCATAGAGAATTCCAAGAAAAAGATAAAATTGGTACATGGAAACAAACAAAAAGGAGACCATGTATTTCTGAACGATCAGTCAGGCGTCTCATCTGATCTCAGCACCTACTACACAGAATGGTCACTCTCATCTTAAAGATATAGAAAGCAATTACTGAAGAGGCGGAATTGTGGTCTCAGGTCAGCTTGGTTCCAGTTTTAGGTTTTTGAGTACAGTATTCTAGGTCTGGTTGGTGGCAATGCCTTTAGTCTTGGCAGGCAGAGGCAGGAGTGTCTTTGTAAGTTCGAGGCTAGCCTGGTTCACATAGTCAGTTTCAGGACCCCAAAAACACAAAACCAAACACAATTAATTAAATGCAACAGTTTAATGCCTAAGAAATAAGATATTGAAACTATTTATTAATTTATTTCATTGAGACAGGGTCTCACCATGTAGCCTTGACTTGCCGAGAACTCTCCATGTAGAAGTGTGGCTTGGAACTAACAGCGATTCACTTGCCTCTTAGGTACTGGGAAATGTGCCACCACATCTATTCATCGCTTTAAAATAAACACCAAGTAGGTAATTTGTGTTTGTTTTGTGTATCCCTGGCTGTCTTGGTAGAGCAGGTTGGCCTTGAACTCCGCCTGCCTCTGCCTCTGGAGTGCTGGGCACCACCCCTGCCTCTGCCTCTGGAGTGCCGGGCACCACCCCTGCCTCTGCCTCTGGAGTGCCGGGCACCACCCCTGCCTCTGCCTCTGGAGTGCCGGGCACCACCCCTGCCTCTGCCTCTGGAGTGCCGGGCACCACCCCTGCTTCTGCCTCTGGAAAGAGCACAAGAGTAAATAAACGCACATTCAAGGCTGATCTAAGAGCATTTTTTTTCTCAATTTTAGGATTTCCCATCTTTTTAATATATTTTTTATTAAAATGACTTACCTACGATGGCACTTTCAGTCCAATTAATCTTATTTCAGCACAGAGCTTAGGTCATTAAAATCTTTAATTTGACAGCTGTCTTTGCACATTACTCCATTTCTGTATGCAGAGAAATTGCTCTGATGTACAGTGAAGGAATGGAGACTTCTTAACTCCTAAAATTAATAAAGTATTTTAAAAGCTTAAATTTTACACTTCCTAATTGACTCCCTTTTCCTCATATCAAAAAAACATGTACTGGCAATGAAAGAAACAAAATTTGATCATACACATAAATTTGAAATAAATACAAAAAAGAGACTATCATAAGGAAATATTTGATCTAGTTAATAAAATCACAAGTGTTAAGTCAATTGAATTTCATCATTTCAGGTTTTCTTGTCAAAAGGGAAACACATACTTTATTATCAATAAATATAGAGATACTAGTAACATACTGAAAATAAAAATCTACAAAAATTAGGGAAGTGCACAGACTGACTTTTAACAATGTGAATTTAGTGGAAACTCTTTTATTAATATCTGAAACACAGACCAGGCATAGTTGCTCATACCAGTAATCCCAGTGTTCAGGAGCTGGAGCAGGTATTAGGTTGCATGCTGGAGCCCAGTTTAAGTGACAATGTGAAGAGGCCAGAGAGATGACGCAGGTAGTGAAACACTTGCTGACAAGCCTGACAAGCCATGTGTGACCCCTGCAATCCACTCTTGAAGGAGACAAACCCACAGTGGGCAGAGAGGATTCCTAACGGTTGTCCTGACCACAGTACTGCTGTGCTCACTTGGCACATGCACATAAAGTTTTGTTGAAAAAAAAAAAAACAAAGCTGGGCAGTGTGATGCACACCTTTAATCCCGCACTCAGGAGGCAGAGACAGGCGAATCTCTGTGAGTACAAGGCCAGCCTGGTCTACAAAACAAGTTCTGGGACAGCCAGGGTTGTTACAGAGAAACCCTGTTTCAAAAAAACCAAAACAAAACCAAATCAACCAACCACCCTACTCTCAGGACTGGACATATCACTGGTTAGAGTGTATACTGCTCTGGCAGAGCACCCAAGTTCAGCTCTCAGGACCCATGTCTGGGTGCACACACCCTCACACATACACACGTACAAACACACACATAATTAACTATAATAAACATAGCTTATGTGAGAACGGCAGGATCTTAACAAGTGGTTTGATGGTTAGTTTTTCTTGTGATCTTGTTTTAAAAATGTCTACATATCAATTTAAATTCTGCTTCCAATTAGGATACAATTGCTACCTTCTTCAATTTACAACAAAACTCAGGGCAATGAGGCGGAAACCAAGTAACCAACTCTAGATCAGCTTGTATGTAAAGACTGTAGGCTGGAGGAGCAAAAGGAGTTTAAAGTCAAATATCAGACCTTTTCAAATTATAAAATTACTGGCACTTTATGAAGTCCAGCAATTGCAGCTAATTTAGTTAAAGTACTGAGGGTTTTCATCAACAGACATGGTCTATACTGCTTCTGTCTTCTAATGTAATATACTCCATGCCCCACTGCTTCAAGGATGCCCGGACAGGGAACAACATTAAAAGGCATGCATGTTGTCACTCATCCTGTCCTATAACGCAACACACATCACATTCACGTGACCTCTTGCCAACTCTGCATCACCCTATGGGGACAGGGCTCAGAAAAATTAAGGCACAATTTGCTGATGATGCAGCTACCGCTGTAATTCATTGATCCCTCACTAGGCGTCGCGGGTCTCATGCACAACTTTGCAAGCTGTTGCTTGCCTGTGTTACAGTAAAAGCCCCGACCATTGGAAATCTCGTCACGCTTTAAGCTATGCTTCCAAATCACTCGTATGCACACAAAGTTCTATTAATCCTTCCGTACTTACCAGCATTATTACAGTGGAATATCTGACAGAAAACCTGAAGCGAGACAGCACAACTGTGTGTTAGAACTTTCATTATTGAAAATCTTACTTGTTTTCATTGTGAGGGACAGCAAATGTTGCTTAACTGATAGTCCAACTACTTAGTAATAAACTCATTTGTACATCGGTGGGTCAGAAAAGCCTCTTTAGAGATTCATTGCCAGCCTACTTGATCTTATTTTGGTGTCATGAGGGACTGGTTCCCAGGCACACTAATTATAATTTACCAAGCAGTTTAATATATATTAAAGGTCTTAACATGAATGTCCTGGGGACAACATTCACGCTTTAATAGTCCTACGTAATAGCAATAGAGAGGGTCTCATCTAGTCCTGGTCAGGCCGCACAAACCAAATAATGTAAAAACAGTTTTCATGTCCCTTAATCCCCGGGGGTTCTGTGGTCAAGCGGGTTCTGTCCTTCACCTCAGCCCGCGAGGAGCAGTGCGGAAGCTCGCACCGAACCTTGGCCTCGACTCGCACACCGGCCCGCTCCCCACCAGCGCAGCGGGTGCGGAAGGGGACACCGGCCTGGCGGAACCGAAGGCTCCTCACTGACCCAGGCCCGGGTCGCAGCCGGCAGCCAACATCCGTTCCAGCATCGGCCGGTTGGTCCTCGAGCCTGACGGAAACGCGGGACCGCGAGCGCCGATGCAGTCCCGCCGCTCTGCACAGCGCAGGCGCCGCGCTTGATCCGCCGCTCTGCAACGCGCAGGCGCACTTCCCACGCTTGGATTCTCCCGGCCGCGGACTGGGCGCCTTCCTGGTTCCGTGATGACAATAACGTCACTTCCGGCGTGGTTGCCAAACAACCAAACCGTTTGGCAACAGTTCCTGTGCTGAAGTTGGTGTAGCGATAGTCTCCCCATCCCGGTCTGCCCTCGCGGAGCTCAGCTAGTTAGAGATGCAGGTGCGCTTTGGGCGGCGCTCCGGACGGACGAAGGGGAGCACAGGTGAGCTGCCGTGGCCCCTTCCGGAGTTGGGATTATTTCTCGAACCCCAATCTAGGGTGACAAGTGAGGGCTTCGGTTGCCTTTTGAAATGGGCTTTGCCAAGCGGAAAGCATTCCCAACAAGTATCCTTGGAAGTTAGTGAGGTTTGACCTTCGGATGAATGAATGGAATGAGGACTGAGACGTGCATAGTAGAATATTCACAGGAATGGGGGCAGAAAAAGCAGAAAGTTAGACGCCCTCCCAACCCCAAAACTGCCCGGCAGGTCCGATACAGGAGTCTGGGGTTCTTAAGCTTTGTTATTCGTTGAGTAAATTTTGGAATGCCGTTTGGAAATGTTATTGTCCTATTAAGTCGCCATTCTGTTGCAGACCTGCAGAGTAGCTCAAGGAATTAACTCTTTCCACTCTAAAGTTAAAACCCACCCCAAGTCAAATGCTTTGGTAGTGTAAAAAATATGGTACGTAAAGTAAGGTGACATAAGATTTGATTTTGTCATAGATGTGAGCAAGTAGGATTCTTTTTTAAAAAAAAAAACAAAAAAACCTTTTATTAAGTCCAGCCACAACAGTTTAATTGTTGTCATGGTAACTGTTATGGTAGATTCTTGGAAATTTGAACCTTTTTCATGTTTTGCCTGAGCTCTGTAGCAATGGCCCCACCTCCACTCCAGAGAACCTGAGTGACTACCTGTCCAGTGAGAACATTACATATCTTGCCCAAGTTTACACATGAAGGAAATCACCAAAGAATCCATCAATTTCCTCTGATTTCATAAAGCCTTGTGTTTTTCCCCTCAGCCATTCTTAAGTCACACATGTGAGGCCGTTTCCAGACACCACTCCACTACAGACATATCTGAGAAAAAAAGCCCGCAAACTCTTCCTGGACAAAGGTTTAACCTACTGTTTAATGCGACAGGAATGAAGAACTCTGAAAAAGAAGAAATTCTCTATCCACCTCTCCTACCTAGCAAGGTAGATCTCCAGCAGGTTACCATAATCCCACATGCCGAGTGGGAAAGGATTCGGGATAGCCTCGGCAGGCTGACGAGAGAAGCGGCGGCCCTTCGTGCAGAAAGAACAGCAAAGAAGAAGATGCATATCCAGTCCCAGGAACTGGTAAAACACTGGACCAACACATACGCAGTAAGTGTCAGCCCCCTAGAAGACGCATGCTTTGAACACTACCTGCGGCTTCTTAGAAGTGTCTTGTATCTTTTATGAATCATTTGATGTTCAAACTGTCATAAATACAACGGCACACGGTTTCAAGATCTTTAAGTAACATACTGTAAATGACACAATTAAGGTAAACGTTTTGTTAAAATTTGACACATTTATGCCTCTGAAACCATCATTACAGTTAGCATAATGAACATATTCATTGCCTAAATTCATTTCCACATCCTGTTTAAATCCTTGTCACTCCTCATAAATTATGGGTTACCACTCATCTACTATTTATTTTATATATATATATATTAATTTATTTATTACGTATACAATGTTCTGTCTGCACTTATGCCTGCATGCCAGAAGAGGGCACCAGATCTCATAGATGGTTGTGAGCCACCATTTGGTTGCTGGGAATTGAACTCAGGACCTCTGGAAGAGCAGCCAGTGCTCTTAACCTCTGAGCCATCTCTCCAGCCCCCTATTATTATGTATTTTATTCAACAGAATCTGAGAGTTCGTTATGCTGTTAAATATACACTTTGTATTGCTGAGTAGTAATCTAGCGATTGATACAGTAAATTTATTTATCTGGTCACTTGATGGTATGGAATCAACAAAATGTTGACATCTGGTGTCTCCATCTTTTGACTGTTAAAGTCGCTGTGAACATTCATACAAGTCTATTTATGGACATATGCTCCAACTTCTCTTGAGTAAATTTCTTGATATAGATGTCTATAGAGAAATCATATGATCACTGAATATGTAACTTTGTAGCTTTCTTTTGTTCTGCTTTGTTTTTCAATACATGTAGCTCTGGGTATTATGGAACTTGCTCTATAGATCAGGCTGGCCTTGAATTCACAGAGATGCACCTGCTTCTGCCTCCCAAGGACTGGAATTAAAGGAATACAGCCCCAGCACCCAGCTTTGTATGTGTAACTTTGTGAGGGGGATGTAGGGCACCTGGAGAGATGGCTCAGCAGTAAAGAGTGCGTACAGTTCTGAGGACTTGTGTTCAGTTTTCAGGACTCACCTTGGGCTGCTCTCAATCACTTGTAACACCAACTCCAGGGGATCTGACATTGTCTTCTGGCCTCTTGGGAAACTGTACACATGTACACACACACTTACACACACATACACACACACAAATATAAATCTTAAAAAATTAACTTTACAAGAAAGTTCTTAAGTGTTTCACAATAATTGTGATTTTTATATCCCCACCAGCAGGATGAGAGTCCTGTTGCTTCTATGTTCACATCAATAGTTGGTATGGTCAATCTTTTTTTATTGTAGACATTCTTTTTTTTTAATTTTTAGATTTTATTTACTTATCATTAAAGACATTCTAGTGGGTGTGAAAATTTCCATATAGCCCAAATTTGAATTTCCATAATAACAAATGTTAAATATGTTTTAAGAATATTCATCGTGCATGCATGCATCATGCACATGTGAAGTCAGAGGACAACTTATCCGAGTCATTTCTCTCTGTCCACCATGTGGGCTCTCAGAATTTAGCTCACGTTGGCCTTTACTTGAACCGTCTCACCAGCTGTCCTAGTTAGCATTAATTGTCAATGACTCAGCCTCCAGTCACCTGAAACAAGTCTCATTTGAGTAATTGTTTTCATCAGATCTGTCTGTGGGCATGTCTGTGAGGAGTTGTCTTTGACTGATAATTGGTGTGGGAGGTCCTAGCCTACCATATATGGCGCCATCACTAAGCAGGTGGGCCAGGACTGTAGAAGGAAGCATGCTTCCTGAATGCCTGAGCAAGCCAGAGGGTGAGCCAGCAAGCAGTGGCCCTGCATAACTTTTGCTTCCATAACTTTTCCTACTTTTCAGTTCCTGTCATAACTTTCCTCGATGGTGGATTATGACCTGGAAGTATAAACCATATAAATCATTTCCTCAGCTGTGGTAGTTTGAATATAATTGGCCCCAATAAGCTTATAGGGAGTGACACTATTAGGAGGGTGGCCTTGTTGAAGTAGGCCTGGCTTTGTTGAAGGAAGTGTGTCATTGTGGGGGATGGGCTTCGAGTCTCTTTTGTTTAAGCTTCGCTCAGTGTCACCATCTACTTCCTGTTGCCTTCTGATGGAGAAGAAACCACTTCTGCCTGCTCTGCCTGCGTGCTGCCATGCTCATCTGGTAATGAACTAAACCTGTGAAACTGTTAGCCACCACCCCAATGTTTGCCTTGATAAGAGTTGCCATGGTCATGGTGGCTTTTCACAGCAATAGAAACCCTAAAGACATCACCTAAATTGCTTTTGGCCAGAGTGTTTTATCACAGCAATAGAAAGGAACATTTACCAAACATCTTTTTGTTTTGTTTTGAGACAGGGTTTTGCCTGTAGCCCTGGCTGTCCTGGAACTCACTCTGTAGATCAGGCTGACTGTGAACTCATAGAGATCCTCCTGCCTCTGCCTCCTGAGTGCTAGGATTAAAGGTATGCCCCACTACTACCCAGTGGCCAAAAATCTTTTGATGAACTTGTTTCTACCTCTTTAAGTTTTTATGATTAGATTTGTTTTCTTATTGATTTTAGAGAACTTTAAAAATATATTCTGAAAGCAAATATGGTGGTGCATCCTTGTAATTAAAATATTCAGGAAACTAAGGTGGCAAGGTCAACC